GGAATAACACTTTTAGCTGGCCAAAAATAGAAAATATGACTATAAAATATTAAATTAGTAACTGCACAGAGCAACTGATTTTTGGTTGATCACTAAATTTCTCCTTAAATAACAATATTTGTCAAAAAAAATGTTTTCTTATTGTTTAATATTATTGATTTCTCTATATATATGAAATAAAATATTTGTTCGGCGCATCCCTTTTAAGGGTACCAACTTCAATTTTTTAATGACTACATACTTACTTAAATATCTTAAATAATAGAAAATAATTCATCTAAGGAAATTACTAATAGATAAGAACTCTTGAACCAGTAGATCACATGTTTTCAACACTTTTAAATATAGACTGGAGGAGAGGTGTGAGTTAATTTATTTTTAGCATTGCATATTTCTTTATCGACCTTCACAACTGACACAGGTATAAAAAAAAGCAATATATTTGCATTAGTGGTTTAAAAGTTGTTATCGAATAGTCATTTTCTTAATTAGAACATTTTCAATCGTTTTAGATAGTCAATATATATATTTCCATTACAAAAAAAAAGTTGATACCTCTATAACGCATAAGGGATAAACCAAAAATACTTAATAATGGATAAATTGAGTTACATAAATTATATGTAACTGAAAATTATTAAAAAATTGTCAAAATTATTGTTGTTTTAAGAGAAATTAAGTGGATAATCAATCGTTCTGTAGACATGAGTTGATTATTAATTAATGACGATGAATTTAACACTATCCATAGACATTATTGTGGTGTATAATAGATTAGCATTGTTAATGTTCAAATGTATGATTTATCATACAAGACGATGCTTATGCACTTAATTTATTTTATAAGTTTTTTTGAACACCTTAAACAAAATTCCCAAATAGACAAATCTTATAATCGTCAAAATGAATACCTCTATTAATGTCAAAAATAAAATTTAATTAATTTTTTTTAAATTAACATTTGAAGAAGAATGTAGTAACATTAACCAGATGTTAAAATTTTAAAAATCAAAGGGAAATTTTTAGGAGCTCTTAGAAGTTTGCTTTTTCTTAATTAAATATTTATACATGTATCTATTATTTTAAAATTTTTATTAATTTAATTAATCTAATTTGTCCGAACTTATTTAAAATTTAAAATGATGCTATTTTTTTTAGAATACATACTTTTAAAACAAGCAATATGATTAGATAATTATTCAAAATTATTGACAATGTGACAAAAACTACAAGAATCAATTTAAATCTATTGAAACTATTTTTGACTATTTTATCAGTTATTTCAAGTGTTAGTAAATGTTAAACATTGATAATGGTAACATTGTTCCCGGAATACGTAACCACGAATGTTTAGTAATTTTTTGTGGCGTTTTGAATTTAATATTTTTAATATAATTTTAGCCACAAGTGATTGATTTTTATTATATGAAATATATTATGAAAAATTGTAAAATCATACAAATGTAACAGCAGTACATCATAATAAACATTTTATTGGTATAAATTTTATCAAATGTTTACAATATTTTGATATAGGGCTCATTTATTAATCAAAATGTTCTTTTCCCTATTAGTTGGTTGTCAGAAAAACCCAAGAGGCAAGTAACAAAAATTATAAAAGTTTTAGAGAATATCATTCACAAATATCGTCACATGTTAACACTAATACAGATCTTTTAAATTCCTTGTTGGTATCATATGATGTCTTGTAATTTTATTTTTAAAAAGATCGCATAAGACATGAAGTAGTACCTACAGAAGTATTCAGTTAAAAAATATAAAACTTTATTAATTGAATGACACAGAAACAAGTGAAAATGAAACGAGTAATAGTGATTCTAAATAATTGATAATTTTATCAATTATTTTAAATAAAAAAATTTATTTACGATAAATATATATACATGCATTAATAAATGTATTAATATAGCATAAAAGTTAGAATAACTTAACGATGCTTGTATAATAATTGAATTTTGGTTTTGGTATTAAAAACAAAAAAAGGATTTTTGTTGATTCTCTGCTTATCTGTTATTTACTAAAATTATCCTTAACGTGATAGTTATATTAAAGTCGATTATTTAAAGTGAATTGATTGTTTTGTATACTTTATTAATGCCAAAAAATATAAAATAATATAAATCATGTAATTAAACAAATGCTAAAATTTTTGGCCAACACTATAACTGTTATTTTCTCATTGAGTGACAGGTATAAAATATGAATCATGTAAGTTCGTTGCGCATAAAGTCTTAGTACTAAATTACAATCATTCAATTTTTTATTTAATTGGTAAGCTACGGGGTCCAAGTCGTGGCTTGTCCCGACAATCATCTACTATAGTTTAACCGTTACCTCACAAACAACTAATCGCTATGACTTATAAAAATTATACGTATTTAAAATGTTTATACAATTATGTAAGTGTACTAAAACTATACAGATGTGTTATGTCTGTAATATATTATAATATGTGGCTAACATCGTAATGTTAATTGCGGCTAATGCAATGCAATGCATTATTATTGAAGTGGCATAGTCGCGTGTCACGACTTGTTTTTGCGGAGTGGTCTATCCGCAATTGTTTTTTAAACACTAGATTATTCAAAAACCGTCATGACATTGCGGCCACAACCAATCGCCAGAAACTTTTTCGGGACATCATGTGTACGTATGCAATAGTCCTTATGAATTCCTGATACTATATTTTGATACTTGTTATAAAATATCAATGCCAAAATATCGAAATAAAAATATATTTATTACGTAATAATCTCACGATTACCTAACACTGAATTATAAACATGAAAATTGTAATAGATTAGTATAGGATTTTTATCAAAAAATGTCTTACACAAAGGCGTTCCCAAGAATAAAAATTGAAGTCAAAAAACACTTAATGGCGAAAATAATAAAGTGCGTAAAATACAATATGGAGAGTCAAATAAAAAATTTTCTTAAATTTAACTGTCTCTCCATAAAAATCTTTTTTGAAAAGCCACGAAAATATTTAAAACAAGCAAAGTTTTAACACATTTTCTTCAGAATTCGTTTTAACTGTCTCAAGTGGAATAAACTACATATGGATTAAATTTGTTTCAATATTTCGAGACACCGATTTACAGTTTTTATCTTAAGATTATAATATTCGGAAAAAACTTTTTATTTGATAATCAGTAACAATACGTTTTTAAATTAAATTATTTTTAGATAATAATAATTGTATTGAACTTAACCGTTAAGTTCAAAGACTTATTGATAATGAAATTATTATTTTTGGCATATAATATTAATTTAGACGTTAGTATTATTAGAAATTCAATACTATGGTATAATCAAATCACTATTTTTTAAATACATGAGTCGTTTAATAGTGTACATTTTACTTTTAAAAGGGTATTTTCACATGTAAATAGATATAACGTTCAATACATAAAACTAATATAAAGCACGATAATTATCTTTTCTTACTGTTATTATTTTTAAAGGACAGTTTTTAAAAAATGGTGCAACAAGTTTTGATAGTATATGAGAATTGAGTTGACGACAACGTCATCAAGTTGCCCCCTAAAGAGGACATTAAATATGGTTATAAGTAATAATTGTTATAAGGACATTATTATAAGTAAATAATAATAACTAGATGAATCAAATCTATTTATAGTTATATATATATTTCTCATTTTGAGAAATCCATCTTTAAAATTACTCTAATGATCTTCGAAATCTTTTAAATTGAAATAAATTCAAACAATTTTCGTATACTACGTGCTACAAAATATTTCACCATTATAAGTTGTCGTATCAAATCACAAGGAAAATTATTGCGTTTGGCTAGTGGACGAGTTCAGAGTTTGATCTTTCATGTGAAAGTATAAATGAGAAAAGATGGCACCCTTGAGACATAAGGAAAACTATGAGAAAAGTCACAGAAAAATACTAATTCAACTGGGCATACAAACTTTAGAAGCAGTACTTAAACGAAAACTTTTGTACCGAGTTTTGTTCTTTTCTCAATAAATTAAAGCCACAAAATCTTCAATTGTCTAGTATTATTTGAAAAATTCTTAACTAAAGAAACCAATGTGATATATGAAAAATATTTATATATCTTTGTATAGCCTCGTATGAAGTCTTTTGGCCTATAGCTTATAATAACATATTGTAACGCATTGATAACAGTAATTTTCAGTTAATTTTAGCTTAATAAATGTATTGATATACTATCACAGTAATTTTTAAGTTTTATTTTCTTTGAAAATAAATTAAAACTTTTTACTATTCATATTTAATTCTTAAATAAATTTATTAATGGCTGCTACGGCACTAATCCTAATCTTGGAAACATGATTACGATTGTTTTTCTTTTATTTTCTTATTAGAGATATAAGATTATATTTTTATATTTATTTATTCGATTTATTTTGTTTTAAAGAATATAAAAAATGAATGTATACATTAAGAATAATTAAATAATGGATAAAAGTTCAGTATCTAAGTTAATATAATGGACAACAGACTAAAAGAAAATGTCAAGCTATTTATAAATTATCACATTTTTTTATTGTTGAAATTATTTAAAATAACGAATATACAGGTGGCGTCACGAAGATATGACAAATCAAATAACTTTTGATTCAATTATTAATTTGTTAAATTTTGTTTTTATTAATTATTAATTCATTTTTAAATTACATTATTTTATAGTCTGAGATAGCAATAATTATTTAAATATATAAATTTTAACAAAATGATAATTAGATAAAAAATTATTGGATTTGTGGTTTCATGAATTGCCCTGTATAATTAGGCAAGTGTCATTTTCCTAAAATTTTTAAAGAATAAATGTTGTCGTGGATCAAAAAGTTACAGGTCTTTTAACTTCATATTTCAAATTTAATTCAATAATTATTCAATGGTGGAAATAGACTTTTAAATCCAAAATAAATGAAAATATTTAACTTTAAAAAATATAAAATTCTTAAAATGTATTTGTTTACCTGTTCATAACGATTAGTTTGGTCTTGGGGTGTTGGTAAGGAATATAATACATTGAATAATGTTAATCCTAATCCTAATACAAATAAAATCCGCGAACTACTCTTTGACATTTTAATACGCACTAATATGATTCGTTATAGATTCACTCTTATTGAAATTGGGTACCTCTATAATTCGTCAATCATTGATTAATGAGCAACTAATAATGCGTGTTTAACTTACAAATTTTTTTATTTATTTTTTTTTTAATTCAATTTAATTGTAACTTATTGTTAATATGTTGACAGGTGTTCATATTATTGCAATAATAATTACAATTGTTATTCAATAGTGTACTGGAACTAGTCTGTTTGATACAAGTGTAAAAAGCTGTGAACAATGTAAATTACCTCAGTTCGTATTAACAAAGTGAATAGTGAGAATGCATAAAGAATAAAATTATTGTACATTGGCTTTATACAACAAATAGTCTGATATTAGTTTTTTAGTAATTCGACTCGTATTTGAGAACATAAACTAACATAATACTTTTTACTAATACTTCTAGTGATTTCAAATGAATATAATTATTGAAAAGATAATTTGTGTGCTAATTAAAGTAACACTCAGAAGTCTATAACTTTAAAATAATTTTTTCAAATATTAACATTTAATTTATTAGAAAAAATATGTAAATGTATAATAAAATACAAATTTATATTATATCATAGCAATTATTTAAATTTAACAAAATAGATCATTTTTCAAACAATACATATTTTTAAGACAATTTAGTTTTTTCTTTACTTCTACATTGATTTAGATTCTGCGACCTGCAAATTAAAATATCGTTATTAAATAATGTGATTATAAAACTATAGATCGATCTAATCAGACCAATATGATTAATTTAGTTTATTTCATTAGGTTGGGCTAATTAAATTTAATGGTCCTATCAGGGTGAACAACATGGTTTTGTATGACTGACTTTTTTCAAAAACGCCCACTGTATGAATGCGACGTAGACAGAATTTCGCATTCGGTTCGGTTTAAAATTTAAATCAATGAAATATGGATGTAAACATATAGAATACCATTATTTTACACACTGAATATTTGATTACAAGCAGAATATTCATGTAAACATCAAAAATTGATAAACAATTTATATAATATCGTTACTTCCATGATAGTATACAATCTCTCTCAAATAAAAAAAAGTCAATTAATGGAGATTTTTTTAATTTTAATCCCATCTTCTTTAAATGAGCACAAAAACATAATTCAAAAAACCCAGCACAGGGGGGTCGCGGCACAGTGGTGACGTAGCATAGTTGGATCAAGTATAATGAAATCTGACAGTGATTAAAATCACTATCAAAAAAAATTCTTCGATGCAAATCTTTAGATAGTGTTTAGTTTTAAAAAATTGGTGAATTATTCCATGATCACTAGTTCCTTATTAATATTCTGATTAAGATAAAGTATGTCGAATGAAAAAGGGATTATTAAAATATATTATTTCTCGTAAAAAAATTGTGTTGATCCATACACTTTTCAATAAGTTATAGTATTATAAAGTTAATAATATAAAAAAGAATTTTTTTACAAAAATCGTATTTTTTTTATTAACTTTGATGACTGTTATCATCGTGAAAATAAAATAAAGTCCGAAATTTTTTTTTTTAATGATAAAGTATATTACATTAGCTTTAATTTAAGATATATATATAAAAGTGTCAGAATTTCCGGAACACTTTCAAAAGATAAATTGAAAAAATTGTCATTATATATCCCGCCTGTGGGCAGGTAAAAGGTCAGAATTATTAAAAAAAATTTATCAAATGTAACGTAATGTTATTATGCAACTATATAAAAAAATTATATTGATTTGCTTATTTTTAAAAAAGTAATGGCAATTTTGAGTAAAAAAAATTGACAAAATTTCGAAAATCAGCGATTTTTATATTTGTATTTTTTTTTGGAGGTTTCACCCATTTACGGGGAACAAGTAAATTTGTTCAATTTTTGAGAGTAATGTCTTTGACTATATACTATTTGCGATCTTTGGACGTATCATTGATAGAAATCGGTTCAGTGAGAGCTGAGAAAAAGTAGTAACAGACAAAAAAAAATATATTATATTGAAAATTTCTTTGTAGAACAGTTAATATTCCCTAACAATATCCTACAGGCCGAAGAAAGAAAAAAATATCATTTATAAATATAGACGAAAAAAATTAAAGACTAAATAAATAATAAAAATGATCCCAATTTTCTTACTTGTTGTTTACCACCTTGTTGGTTACCACCTTGCTGTCTACCACCATTATTTGGTTCACGACGTTCTCTTACCTAAATTTTAAAGATTGGAATTATCAAAATTGACATATTAATATTTTTTATAAATATTAAAATTCCAATATTTATTTAATCATAAGCTGTCTTATTTTAAATATGTACTATATAATGCAATAATATTTGATCCATTTTTTCTTTTATTTTCAATATTTTGAAATTAATGGTTATCATAAAAATGTTTTCATTTTTCTTACTTGTTGGCTACCTCTTTGTTGGCTACCACCTTCTTGGCGACCACCTTGTTGGTTACCACCTTGTGGTCTACCACCTTGCTGTCTACCACCTTGTTGGCTACCACCTTGCTGTCTACCTCCTTGTTGGTTACCACCTTGTTGTCTACCACCATTATTTGGTTCACGACGTTCTCTTACCTAAATTTTAAAGATTGGAATTATCAAAATTGACATATTAATATTTTTTATAAATGTTAAAATTCCAATATTTATTTAATCATAAGCTGTCTTATTTTAAATATGTACTATATAATGCAATAATATTTGATCCATTTTTTCTTTTATTTTCAATATTTTGAAATTAATGGTTATCATAAAAATGTTTTCATTTTTCTTACTTGTTGGCTACCTCTTTGTTGGCTACCACCTTCTTGGCGACCACCTTGTTGGTTACCACCTTGTGGTCTACCACCTTGCTGTCTACCACCTTGTTGGCTACCACCTTGCTGTCTACCTCCTTGTTGGTTACCACCTTGTTGTCTACCACCATTATTTGGTTCACGACGTTCTCTTACCTAAATTTTAAAGATTGGAATTATCAAAATTGACATATTAATATTTTTTATAAATGTTAAAATGCCAATATTTATTTAATCATAAACTGTCTTATATTAAAAAATATACTATATAATGCAATACTATTTGATCCATTTTTTCTTCTATTTTGCAATAGTTTAAAATGAGTGATTATCATAAAAATGTTTTCATTTTTCTTACTTGTTGGTTTCCACCTTGTTGGCTACCACCTTGTTGTCTACCACCATTATTTGGTTCACGACGTTCTCTTACCTAAATTTTAAAGATTGGAATTATCAAAATTGACATATTAATATTTTTTATAAATGTTAAAATGCCAATATTTATTTAATCATAAACTGTCTTATATTAAAAAATATACTATATAATGCAATACTATTTGATCCATTTTTTCTTCTATTTTGCAATAGTTTAAAATGAGTGATTATCATAAAAATGTTTTCATTTTTCTTACTTGTTGGTTTCCACCTTGTTGGCTACCACCTTGTTGTCTACCACCATTATTTGGTTCACGACGTTCTCTTACCTAAATTTTAAAGATTGGAATTATCAAAATTGACATATTAATATTTTTTATAAATGTTAAAATGCCAATATTTATTTAATCATAAGCTGTCTTATTTTAAATATGTACTATATAATGCAATAATATTTGATCCATTTTTTCTTTTATTTTCAATATTTTGAAATTAATGGTTATCATAAAAATGTTTTCATTTTTCTTACTTGTTGGCTACCACCTTGTTGGCTACCACCTTGTTGGTTACCACCTTGTTGTCTACCACCATTATTTGGTTCACGACGTTCTCTTACCTAAATTATAAAGATTAGAATTATGAAAATTGACCTTAATATTATTGAATAAATTTTAAAATGCCAATATTTATTTAATCACAAACTGTCTTATTTTAAAAAATATACTATATAATGCAATAATATTTGATCCATTTTTTCTTTTATTTTGCAATAGTTTAAAATGAGTGATTATCATAAAAATGTTTTCATTTTTCTTACTTGTTGGTTTCCACCTTGTTGGCTACCACCTTGTTGTCTACCACCATTATTTGGTTCACGACGTTCTCTTACCTAAATTTTAAAGATTGGAATTATCAAAATTGACATATTAATATTTTTTATAAATGTTAAAATTCCAATATTTATTTAATCATAAGCTGTCTTATTTTAAATATGTACTATATAATGCAATAATATTTGATCCATTTTTTCTTTTATTTTCAATATTTTGAAATTAATGGTTATCATAAAAATGTTTTCATTTTTCTTACTTGTTGGCTACCATCTTGTTGGTTACCACCTTGTGGTCTACCTCCTTGTTGGTTACCACCTTGCTGTCTACCACCATTATTTGGTTCACGACGTTCTCTTACCTAAATTTTAAAGATTGTAATTATCAAAATTGACATAATAATATTTTTTATAAATGTTAAAATTCCAATATTTATTTAATCATAAGCTGTCTTATTTTAAATATGTACTATATAATTTAATAATATGATCCATTTTTTCTTTTATTTTCAATATTTTGAAATTAATGGTTATCATAAAAATGTTTTCATTTTTCTTACTTGTTGGCTACCACCTTGTTGGTTACCACCTTGTTGTCTACCACCATTATTTGGTTCACGACGTTCTCTTACCTAAATTATAAAGATTAGAATTATGAAAATTGACCTTAATATTATTGAATAAATTTTAAAATGCCAATATTTATTTAATCACAAACTGTCTTATTTTAAAAAATATACTATATAATGCAATAATATTTGATCCATTTTTTCTTTTATTTTGCAATAGTTTGAAATGAGTGATTATCATAAAAATGTTTTCATTTTTCTTACTTGTTGGTTTCCACCTTGTGGTCTACCACCTTGTTGGCTACCACCTTGCTGTCTACCTCCTTGTTGGTTACCACCTTGTTGTCTACCACCATTATTTGGTTCACGACGTTCTCTTACCTAAATTTTAAAGATTGTAATTATCAAAATTGACATAATAATATTTTTTATAAATGTTAAAATTCCAATATTTATTTAATCATAAGCTGTCTTATTTTAAATATGTACTATATAATTTAATAATAATTTGATCCATTTTTTCTTTTATTTTCAATATTTTGAAATTAATGGTTATCATAAAAATGTTTTCATTTTTCTTACTTGTTGGCTACCTCTTTGTTGGCTACCACCTTCTTGGCGACCACCTTGTTGGTTACCACCTTGTGGTCTACCACCTTGCTGTCTACCACCTTGTTGGCTACCACCTTGCTGTCTACCTCCTTGTTGGTTACCACCTTGCTGTCTACCACCATTATTTGGTTCACGACGTTCTCTTACCTAAATTTTAAAGATTGTAATTATCAAAATTGACATAATAATATTTTTTATAAATGTTAAAATTCCAATATTTATTTAATCATAAGCTGTCTTATTTTAAATATGTACTATATAATTTAATAATATGATCCATTTTTTCTTTTATTTTCAATATTTTGAAATTAATGGTTATCATAAAAATGTTTTCATTTTTCTTACTTGTTGGCTACCACCTTCTTGGCGACCACCTTGTTGGTTACCACCTTGTGGTCTACCACCTTGTTGGCTACCACCTTGTTGTCTACCACCTTGTTGGTTACCACCTTGTTGTCTACCACCATTATTTGGTTCACGACGTTCTCTTACCTAAATTTTAAAGATTGGAATTATCAAAATTGACATATTAATATTTTTTATAAATTTTAAAATGCCAATATTTATTTAATCACAAACTGTCTTATTTTAAAAAATATACTATATAATGCAATAATATTTGATCCATTTTTTCTTTTATTTTGCAATAGTTTGAAATGAGTGATTATCATAAAAATGTTTTCATTTTTCTTACTTGTTGGTTTCCACCTTGTTGTCTACCACCTTGTTGGTTACCACCTTGTTGTCTACCACCATTATTTGGTTCACGACGTTCTCTTACCTAAATTTTAAAGATTGGAATTATCAAAATTGACATATTAATATTTTTTATAAATTTTAAAATGCCAATATTTATTTAATCACAAACTGTCTTATTTTAAAAAATATACTATATAATGCAATAATATTTGATCCATTTTTTCTTTTATTTTGCAATAGTTTGAAATGAGTGATTATCATAAAAATGTTTTCATTTTTCTTACTTGTTGGTTTCCACCTTGTTGTCTACCACCTTGTTGGTTACCACCTTGTTGTCTACCACCATTATTTGGTTCACGACGTTCTCTTACCTAAATTTTAAAGATTGGAATTATCAAAATTGACATATTAATATTTTTTATAAATTTTAAAATGCCAATATTTATTTAATCACAAACTGTCTTATTTTAAAAAATATACTATATAATGCAATAATATTTGATCCATTTTTTCTTTTATTTTGCAATAGTTTGAAATGAGTGATTATCATAAAAATGTTTTCATTTTTCTTACTTGTTGGTTTCCACCTTGTTGGCTACCACCTTGTTGGTTACCACCTTGTTGTCTACCACCATTATTTGGTTCACGACGTTCTCTTACCTAAATTTTAAAGATTGGAATTATCAAAATTGACATATTAATATTTTTTATAAATTTTAAAATGCCAATATTTATTTAATCACAAACTGTCTTATTTTAAAAAATATACTATATAATGCAATAATATTTGATCCATTTTTTTTTTTATTTTGCAATAGTTTGAAATGAGTGATTATCATAAAAATGTTTTAATTTTCTTACTTGTTGGTTTCCACCTTGTTGTTTACCACCATTGTTGTTGTTTTCACTCGGATCACTGGTTTTGGGTTCGCGTATTACTAATTCCTAAAATTATTAAATTTTAGAAATGAAACGGGACATATAAATGATTAAGTTATTTGCTAATAATCAATTTATCTTTTACGAAATTTAATTTTATATATGAATGTATTTTGATATAGAGTTTGTTGGAGGAATCATTTACACACATGTTGTGGATTCATTGTTGAGAGATGAAGTCGGATTGAGGTGGTATCAATTACAAACAATTTCATATAAGGATTTATGTAGATGTTAGGGTTGTAATTTGTGACTGCTGTCTCAACAATCCAGATACTGAATACTGAACTGGTGGACTTTTATTCTAAAGAATTTTATAAATGAGGATATTTTATCTTCTACTTCACATAAGATTGACTTATTTCCAGATAGATAATGTGAATTTACTAACACACTTAATTCTTATTTTGTATGAATGTGAACTTTATTGGTTTGTTCATTCCAATTTTCATATGTTTGGCTTGTGTTAATTAGTTAATACAAAAATAAATACTCCAAATTTATAATGAATGTTCTTTTTTTTTAATTAAAAATGTTTTATTAAATTATATTATATCTTAGCTATTTTGATATTATATCTTTAAATATCACTTTTCTATATAGTAAAATTTAAATAAATTAAGGTCGTGGATAGTACAAAACAATTTTTGGATTGATTGTATGCAATTAAATACATTCGTACGAATTCATTATTTTTTTAACGAATGGATGCATGAGCACATTCAATATTTACTGAATATTCAATATGAAATAATTAATTTTTTATAATATTTTGTTTAAAAATTGAGTGAAAAAATGTATTTTTTGATTAGTTATAACTAATTTTAATTTAATAATTATTAAATTAAAATGTTTTTAATTTTGAAGTGAATATTAGTGGAAATAGTAGAAATCTAAAATTTTGTATACTTACAGAATTTAATGGTACGCTAACACCCAATACATTTGGGTTGGTTTCAAGAGCAGCTCTTTTCCATAAATACTAAAGCAAAAGTAAATTTTATAATAATTAAATAAAAAACCATATTCTTATTTCTTAAATAGAAATTTTTAATTTGATAGAACTAATAATAATGTTGAAAATTTAATTTTCAACATTAAAACAGCGTTCAATTCTATAAATTCTATCAATCATCAAAATAATTTATGGTAATCATGTATGGTTCAAGCACTACTACACTCTGTCATATTGAAAAAAAATTATATTTCTAATAAATTATACATTATTTCTATAGATTAGTAATCGCTGTGAAAAATTATTTTAAAGTCTTACCTGTTGAGTTGACAATTGTAATCCTGCAACCAACAAGGAACAAAACAATAAAGATTTAATTAAAACCATTTTATTTAAGCTATATAACAAAGTTTATATTTTAATACGTAACTTTAGTATGTCTAATTAATGTTCTATAACACATATAAATTAAGCTCTTGGTGAAACTCAATGATATGATGATAACCTGTTTAATTCTTGATTCTTTTATATTATAAATTCAGAGAGTTTTTAATTACATTAGTGTAATAGTCCTAAAAACTAACATAAATTTTCAAAAATAACATTGACGCTAAATACTTAAATTTTATAGTTTGTTTGACTTAAGTTAATAAACAAACATTACATAAACGTGTTAAAGTTATTTAATTGAAAATGGAAAAAGAACTGTGTAATGAAAAAATGCTATTTGCTGTTTATGTATGATTTTATTATTTTAATAGAATCATTGTATAATGCAATTAAAATAATTTTAATGTTTATTAGTAATATGTTTGTATAAGGAATAACTACATTTATTCAGTATTTTCATATGTAATTTGTATCAGGTTTGTTTCAATGGTTTTTTTTATTAATTTACGTTTTATTAACAATATTTAGTGTAAAAGGATGTATTATTGATCCATTTTTTTTTTTTATGATATTTGTTGACAATGTTTTGAGTCTAAATTATAAACGTTATTAATCTCAATTTTGCGTATACTTAAGTTTGAGATCTGTTATTGTTAAAATAAATGTACTCTTATGGGCAAATTTTTTACTCATAATTATGTTTTAATGCATAGATCCTAAAGTTAGTTATTATTTAATTTGAAAATACTAATTTATAACAGGTTACGTCCTAGGAAGCCAATAGAATGGTGCAAAGTGTGTATTCGCATTAACTTTTTAAAAATGTCTGAATCAGTCTACTCTATACATAAATTTTAAAATTCTTAAACTTTTTAGCCATTTTTAACCCACTTTTTTATATATATATTTTTGGCCTGATTGATAAAAATGTTATTTATTTTTATTGTTTATGTAAAATTAAATAACCAAATATTATTATTTTTGTACTATTACTTTTTGTTATATAAGCACTTCAAAATTTAGTAATAATGAGAAGCGGAGTGATGTTTAGCGAGACTTTTTTATTATCACAGAGTTATGGTTTTGTACTATTACTACTATAGTAAGTCACAATTTTGATTTAAATGATTATTGTAAATTGTAAATAGTAGTTAAAATATTTATATTCACCTTATTTTTCACTATTAACTTGTAAGCAAAAAATCAGCAAAGCTGTGCTAGTTATTTCTTTTTTTAATTTGTTAAAATTAAGTTAATGTGTTAATAAATATTTTAAGTTAATCTGTTCTTCATTTTACTTTTTAATAGGTATATTAGCTTCGATGCGAAGCTGAGAAGGTATTGGTTTTACTAAGATGTGTTTTTTTTTTTTGTGTCTTTTACCACTTTTTCTCAGCTCTCACCGAACCGATTTCTTTCAATGATACGTCAAAAGATCACAAATCGTATCTAGTCGAAGACATTACCCTCAAAAATTGAAAAGACGTTAGGTTTATCGATAATATACTTGTATAACAGTAATTTTTCGTCTACAGCTGTGAGATAGTAATAGTAATATGAGCAAATATTTTGTGTTAAATTAGTTTTGGGTTAAACATTTTTTATAATTTTAAAATATGTCTTATATCAATTGCTGTATTTGTGAAAAAACTCGAGGTGACTTTGTCGAAGTTAAGCAAAAGGGTTTCTTGAGTCTTTTAAAGGCTAGTGAAATGCGTGGAGACAATAAATTTAAAAACATTAGTGGCACGTTAATGGCACATATAGAATGTAGAAAATCATATACACGTAAATGTACCATTATAAGTGACCTGAAACAAACAAGTGCTTCTACTTTTACTGATACGACATTACCACCTACACCTACCAAAAATAAAGTACGATCATCTCAGTCTCTTCAACTTAAAAGTAAGTGTTTATTTTGCTTTGAAATTATACCAGACAATTTCTCGGATATTCAAAAAAAGAAGCCGGTAGAGTGTAGAGAAATTGTGTGTACTGTAACTAGTTTAAACGTAGGCCATTCTATTATTACTCAAGCTAAACAACGAAATGATTTATGGGGCAAAGAGGTTGAAAAGCGTTTAGCTAATGTAATTGATCTCGTAGCAGCTGATGGTAGATATCACAAACATTGTTTTGTTAATTTTTTCAAATCATCATCTAGAGTCAATTTAAAAAGAGGTAGACCGCAAAATGAGGACATTAAAATAGTAATGGAAAAAATATATTCTATATTAGAAAATAGCGAGGAATGTCAATTTTCGATTGAAAATGATATATTGCCTTACATTGATGATGATTATGTGCCCGACGTAAAAACTATTCGTGCAAAATTACTTGAAAAATATGGTAAAAATATTATCTTGAGTTCCGCAAATAAAAAAACCACAACTATATGTTTTCGAGGTACATGTCAAAATATATTGACAAAAAATTGGTATGAAAATCGAAAGTTAAATAAAGAGGAATAGAGACAAAGAATTGTAGAGGCCGTGGCAGTAATTATTTTAAAGACATTCGCTCACAAATATATGACACAAGTTCTTACCCAGCACCAAATGAATTTTTAGAAAATGTTGATTGTGTCATTCCAAAAACATTGAATATATTTTTAAATAAAGTAATACTGAGTAATAAGAAAGGTGATAAAACACAAATATCAAAAAAATGTACTGCCATTGCTCATGCTATAATGTCAGCGACAAGACCTCGATCATTTCAATCTACTATTCAAATGGGTGTTGGTATATACCTCCATAGAAAATTTGAATCCAAAAATTTAATAAATATTTTATCTAGTCTAGGACTTTGCTCAACTTACCACGATATTATTAAATTTGAATCGTCTTGTTTAGTTTATCCACAAACTAATATTTTTGAAAACTCTTTCAGCCAATTCGTATTTGACAATGCTGATTTTAACTCATGTACTATCGATGGTTTAAATACTATTCATATAATGGGTGGTATATGCTATTCTACACTAACAACATCAGTTATTCCTAATGAACCTATACTCCTAGTTAAAAAACTTCCATCTTCAAATGAAATAAGCAAGTATGGTCAAGTACCCATTTT